CGTTAGTGACACCGCCCGTTCCAGACTACGTGGACAGGGGATGTTACATAAAAGTTTTTTAATTAAAATAAAAATAAAAAGTCAAACATGGTAAGCATAAATCCTAACTTCCACTTTTGCCCCTAATCATTCTTAATTAACCTTTTTTATGTTTTAGCTGTTGATTAATTTTCTAAATTTTGATCAATGACCAAGATTTGTCCACATATGCACAATAAAAAATGAGTTTGTCTATGTGTTTGGTGTTTGGATGTTTTTCTAAAAAGGTTGTATGGTTTTTTTTGTTGTTTTTTAATATATTGCGAGGAGTAATCCTTTTCAAAAAAATGAGTTTTCATATGAACCCACACCTATATATGTATGTATACATATGTGTGTGTATATAATGCGGTTCAAACGAGAACAGTAACTCAATGAGATAACACGAAAACAGACACATCACGTGCAAAATCATATGTAATTTTACACTATTAATCAACTCAAGGGTGTACGGACGACATGTCACGCGACTTTAACCATCCATCCCCTAATTTCAGCACCATCATCAAGAACACAATGTTAAATTTTATCAAAGCTTAGGAACAAACAAAGCATTTTTCAATTATACACCATCATAAACATACACATTCCACTGAAAGGCCATTAGACCACCTATATCCTGTAATCCAACTTTTCTAAAGGTAACTATTTCAATCTCACCTATAAGGGATCGTTTACCTGAACACTTATCCGGTAAACGTTTAACGATAATTTCAACTCTATCTCTTACTTATTGGGTAAGATTTTAGTCTACCAAACGACATAGTATGTAACAATTTACCCGGTAAGCGATAGTCGTGGTAAGAGTCTTCGCCATCACTTATCGGGTAAGACTCTCGATTCGTGCATTCGCTCTTACCAGATAAGATTCTTGGTACTTGTCATATTCATCCGGTAAGGAAATGTGACTTGATAAGCACTTACCCGAGTAAGCATTTGGTAAACGGGCCCTAAATACCATTACCGTGTATAACTATTATATACTTAAATAAAAACTGACCCACCGCCAATCATATTATTACCATTTGGTAGCACCAAATCCAATAACATACTTAACATGTTGAATCATAGGTATAGGGATAAAACGATTTTTATGTAAACAGAAAAACTGAAGACGTGATTATATCATTATCCTTAAGAAATATTAGCCGCACTACAAGGGTGGTGCCTGATTGGTTTGAGCTTGACTCCAAAGTTCAAAAGTACCTGGAGGTCCCAGGTTCAAATTCAAGGAGGAATAAAAATTCTCTTGTCGCCACGGAGGTTTAAATGCGGTGACTCTGGGCTATCTACAAAGCAGATGGTCTTCCTGGGATTAGTCGGCTCACATAACGGGTTGGATATCCAGGTTAATAAAAAAAAAATATTAACCCCCATGAGGTCGTTAATGGATCTAAGCTAATTTCCTCCCAGGACCTCTTCGACTGTAGGCAACGATCCTACAAGTTCTTCTCATGATCATAATTTAGTGATATAGTGAAGAAGATGAAAAATTGATTAGATTTTAATTGAAAGTAAAAATCATATATTTATATTATAAATTTCCCAACAGTTGCAACCATTCAGGAAAAGGTGCAACCTTTCATGAATAACAAAAAAAAACTAACAATTTCGGTTTCATCCAAAAATTAACCGAAAACAGTTTAACAGAAAATTAACGAAAAAACTAACTTGCTGTTAAATGTTAGGACAAAAAATGTAAGGAATTTTATCTGCAAGTGCAAAGTGCTAAGGGGCTGTTTGGTAGGCTCTTAATGGTTACATTAAGAGCCAATCGCTAAATCGGTCAGAGGTTGCGTGTGTTTGGCAAAAAAAAAACAACCTCTTAATGGTTACAAACACCTCTTAAYCATTTTGCACCTGGTGCTTCACTCAACCATTCAGACATCATTTGTTCCATCTTTACCCCTCCCACCCCTCTCTTCCAGCGTCGCCTTCACCGTCTCCATCCAGAGTTCACGTCGCCTTCCACGAGTTCACGTCGCCTTCCATCTCCACCTTCACCGTCTCCATCTCCGGCCACCTGCACCGTCTCCATCTCCGTCTCAAATCATAGAACCCAAAAATCAAATCATAGAACCCTGCACCCCTCTCTTGTTGGTCACCGGAACAGTCGATCGAAGCTGGCGA